CATAACTTGGCTGTGTGGCTGTCTCTAATAATGCAATTCTGAAGTTACTTGATTGACAGATGAATGCAGCAAAAACATTAATTAGTGACCCAGACTAGTTTGTCAGAACCCGCTTTGATATTCACAGTGATTTTGTCCAATTGCTTTTGCCCACCAGCTTTATCTTAAAAGCTCAGTGCTGCACAGAGTGGATGTAATTATTAACTTTTAAGCAAAGGCGAGGACTTCTAGTTTTTTTTTCCATTTCTACCTGGATAATAACAATGAATAAGATTAATTGGTGGGTGGGCGAGCAGAATAGAAATCATGTTGAAATTGTATGCAGGAGGCAGTAGTATTATATCTGAGTAAGAGCCCGAACTACGGATCCCTGTATTAATAATGCAAAAGGACCCCTAGGGCAGCCATCTATTTGCAGAGCCCCGCAACCCCCAACATGTAGTCTTACACATACACGCACATACAGAAGTGTGTGACTTTGGATTCATGTTATCATACCATTTTTCTTCAGGCAGTGTTTCCAGGCAGGCAAAGAGTCTTTTGTTAGTTTTGTTTGCTCACATAATTCATTAGTCCTTTGTGATTTTCAAGCAGAATGATTGTTGCATAATTACTGATTTTCTACTGTTTGTAAAGGATTAGCAAATATGTCTACCACTGGCAATAACACATCAAACAGTTCAAACAAAAGGTATGCCTAGAGCACAAGGAAACCTGCTATATGTTGCATATCATTGCACACGTATATTCTAAAAGTTATGATTGTAAATGTAAACCTTGATCACACCAGTTTGTGCAGTATATTGTGTCACAAAAAACTTGCTGGAAGTAGCAAATAGATGATCAGTTTTTAACCAGTCACATGGCATTTCAAGATACCCATAAGTCCCATGATGGTTCTGTTTCGTAACTACATAATATCTCGTAGAGAAAAGTGAGATTTGTCAGATTTTTGCTGGCTTCTGTGCTTCTCCTGGCTATGGGTTTTGCTGAAACTATAAAGCCTTATAACAGTATAGCAGGTGATTGACATGTGCTCCCGAGTAAGTGAAAGACTTTATTATACAGTATAACTTAACCAATCATGTTTTGTAGATTTACAGAATGAATTAAAATCAGTTGAATCTCAAATTCAAATAATGCAAATTTGTAGTTCATGTAGTAAAATATAGGTTGAAAGTAGCAATATGAATATTTTATCTCATAGCTTTTAAATAATAGGCGATGACAGTGTGAAATGTTTCCTGAAGTATGAATGGATTATACAGATGATGTACTATGGGGGGCCATCAGGGACATTCAGAGTTACCATGCATATACATGTATTTTTCGTCATGCATTTTACTCACATGCGTGAAAGCATGTAGTTTTTATGAGAGCTTTTCAGTTGTGAATGTGAGTGTACAATTTATCAGTTGTTTGTGTGAGAGTGTTTAAGTTATGTGTTCAAAAGCATTTCATTTGTGTGTGTGTGTGTGTGTGTGTGTGTGTGTGTGTGTGTGTGTGCGGTTTTCAGTATAGTATGTGAATGAGTTTGGTTTCATATGTGAATGTGAGAGGAAAAGTACATGCATGATAATTCTAAACAATGTCCCTTATGGCCCCTCATGATGTACAGTGAAGTGGTATGAGGTGAAAAGCACACATTTGCATATCATTGGATGTGCCAATGTCCAATGTATTGAAATGTCACTGTGTTTTAAAGTAAAGTTTTTCTTATGTCTGATTTATTAACGTTGAAATGTTGACTTGTGTTTTGAAAGATTATTTTACTCTCTGGTTTGTTTCGTGTTTCATGCTTTGTTAGTATGCTATTTAAATTCCTGTTCTGTAGTCATTTTATGAAATGTTATGTGTTCTGTTTTGACCAGTGGTGTTGTGCTTTGCACTTAAGGGCCACAATACAGTATTTTTAAATGGCATTGATTTGACAGTTTGCATATATAATGCTGTAAACAAAACAAAATATTACATCTTAAACTAGACCTTTCCAGTGTGCAGTGTCATTGTTGGAAGAGCACTATAAATATTGTTTTGTATCATTTGTGTAATGGTAAGGCTAAAAACTATAACTGTTTTGGCATGTCCTCCACCTGAAAACAATGATTTCTCTGTACCTGACGAACTGGTATTCTCCAGCCGTTCCTGTAAAAGTAAGGAACGGCTTACTTGAACAGGAAGTTATACGAGTTATACATTTTTCCTTAACTTTAGAAAAAAACTTTCTACTTTGCAGTTTCCATTTAAACTTATTACACATTGTCTTGCTGTATCGCATTGTCCATTTTCACATTTCAATTGCAAAATGGGTCTCTTATCTCCACAACATTTATACAAAACTATATAGATGGTAAAGATACAGTACTCAATGTCTGTCCCTCTGAATGTGGGCCACAGAGGTTGATTCACAGAATCTATGGTGCATTCCCTGTTTCCTTTTATGCTCACTTTGTATAAAGTATGGATGCCTGAAATAATTACCTGGGTGGGAGCCATGGTGAACTAAGACGGTATATCTCCCACAGCTTAAAATCGGCCTGCCAGTTCAAAACAATTATGTAAAGTATCAGCACTCACAATTCCTATTCAAGTGCTGCAGCCTCCAGATCTTTGTACAGTTGGTGTATTGGGAGATATGCAGTATAATTATAAAGATTATTCCTGGTCACTCAGAAGTAATTTTCTTTCATTTTTTCAGAGTTTTGAATAGAACTTTACTGTTCTTTATAACATTAACACCATCATCAACCATGTAATTCCTTCATGTGTCCCATTGAACTACATACTGTCAATGCTGAATAGCAGAATAAACCTTTTTTACAGCAGCAATTTTGACATGAAATAGTAGATTAATCACTGGTGTTGACGATAATACTAGTGTAGCAGAGAATTTCCATCGGGCCAACATGCACAAGAGCAGCCCCCTGACTCTTTTTGACCTGAATGGGCAAGTTGTCAAGTCAAGTCAGTCAAGCTGAAGTCAAGCAGCAGAGGTTAAGTGACAATGTGCAATACTTCCAGTCCATTTTAACTAAATATGCAAAAGAAGGGTGTTTATCCTTTTCTGGACAGGTCAATAAAAAAATTGTACAGCCACTTGTTCAGGCACCATTTCACCACTGAATGGGACCTCAATTAGTATAATTGGAATCACCTGTGTTTACCCTATTATTTCATGTCAAAATGGGTGCAGTGAAAAAAGTCTGTAGTTTGTTTGTAAACTTGAACATGCAGCACTCCATCTTATATCCAATAGTATGTTCACCAATGAAAGAAATAATGCATACAATACATTAGCCTGTGGGACTTTGCCATTACTCTGAGCAGACTAACATTTCCTGCTGGAGATACTCCAGATACTTTGATGGCTGGAGATCTCTGACGTTTTAACTTTATGGGCGAAAGGTTTTCAAACTCCCCAAGGGAGTCTTTCACATCTATCTGATGAGGCGATACCTACGTTTGCTCTCTCCACTGCCCTTCTCTGCATCAAGGGTATTCACTTGGAAAGAGAAAAAAAGACAAATTGATGACAAATCTGCCCTAGGGTTGTTATTGTTAAACCATATTCCATGATGTAGTGGCAGAGTTCAACCAAGTTAATGATACTGCTGTGTGTGAGCGTGTATCCAAAAACAATGCTTCAGCTGCTGCTGGCATTGTTTTGACATCAGGATGGCATCCCTGTTTCTGAAATTGATCTCTCTCTCTTGGACAGACAGACCTTAGAGAAATCTGTGGCACTCTGCTAACTCTGGGTTGGGTCCAACAAAAAAAAAGAAGGAAATGAGGATGGTATTTTAACAGGGGTATTATTCAGTCATTTGTGAGAATATGTTTCTGTAATTATAGTGTTTAATTACAAAATAAGAAAGCCATTATCATGAAAGTACAGTAAAGAGAAAATCCTCTGTCTTTCCTGTAGCTGTTTCACTCCTGAAAGAAGAGTTAACTGGGAGCTGTGATAAATATTTCATAACATGACTGCAAGATGAAGGCTGAAGGATAGCTTTTAAAACTTGCTCAGAATACCAATGGGATGGCCTTATAATTTTCTTTAGATAAAATGAAACTTTATTTTTGTGTTTGACAGAATTTTTCTAACGCTTAAGAAGGATATCTGCTTAATGCTGTTGTAAATCTTTTATTGTAGAGGAAATTTGTTTCCCCGAAAGGATCAAAAACATTTTGTATTTGAAAAACTTTTCCAATATAGAAAACATAATTATCCTGAGACTAAACCTAACCCTAAGCCTTATTTGACTAAAACAATTTAAAACAACAACATCATGCTACAAATTATAATAACCAATTCTTAAACTTGCTATCAACACCCATGTAGGCCTCTTATACACCTGCATTACCACACGTTCATATTCAGATTGTATCTAGATTAAGTCTGATAATGTTTCGACCTGACATCAACATACATCAACAGTGAGATCCCATCATGATCTATGTCCATGCCACAACTGGGCACCTCATCAGGACCACTTCACTCTCTAACCCTTGCAGGCCTTACAGAAAATGGTAAACAACGGAAACACTAGACAACTGAGACAAGCACAGCATGTCAAAGTAGCTGACTGTTTACGTCCAGTTGTACTCTTTGAGGAACTGTATTTACACTTTATTTGGATCAGAATTAAAATCTTCTCACCTCTGGAGGCGGTTTGTGTATTTGGATCACAATCAATCTTCATTCACATGTGCATTTTTGGTGTACATTTTAACTGATAATCCCAGATGCATAGGGATGCCTGTTATAATGTTAGACTTTTTCTGTGCTTCTCATATACACTTTAATCCATCTCTTACCTGAACTGAGAAGTAGAGTAGCCCTCAGTATGTGTTCATTTACACAAGGTTGTACGATTTGATTACTATCTGATCAGGTGAAGAAGTGCAATGGGCCTCATCTTAATTAATCTTCATACATGTTGAACCCTTAAAGCTGATGTCTCTGTATCAATTTTCTTATCTTAAATTGCCTTTCTCAGGGGAAGATGTGCCCATTGCCCTCTGTGAAGCAGACCCTCCTCCTACAGAAGTGGCCTGTGAGGTGCCGTGTTCTGCAGACTGTGTGGTTAGCTCCTGGTCCTCCTGGTCATCCTGCTCACACAGCTGTAGCACCAAGAATGCGGAAGGCCGACAGAGCCGCACTCGCACAGTGTTAGCCCTCCCAGGGAAAGGTAATTAAATGTTCCCTTTGACTTTTTTAGCTTTTCACCCACTTTGCTCTGTTTATTGCTGTGTTGTTTTTGTGTTTAACTTCCCAAATAACAGTTTTCAATCAAATAAAATGTGACAACTGGGATGTTTCTTCCGTTTTTTCTTCATCAAACATTTTTAGATAAACTTTAGATTAAAGCTTTGATTTACAGTATCATTCCGTTACATACATGGTATTTAAACACAGAGCACTACCACTACATACAAGGGTTTCCCGCCAAGAAGAGGACAGAAATAAATTACCCTGTGTGGTTCATTAAATTATCTGTTACATAAATATTTACAGTACAGTAATATATATTATACATTGTTACTGGATGACAAAGGGAAAACAAGATGACAACTGATTTTTGAGAAACATTGAAAATCATTTCAATTACAATGTATTTATAAAAAAACTGCTGTGGTAATAAAATAAATTGCACTATGATGTTTTTCAAAATGGAGAACTCAAAGCTAAGCTCAGGAAAGTTATAAGAATGATTTCACCAACACTGTTTTGGCTGTTATTTCTGTGGATTTCTCATGGAGTCCTATTAAGACATTTTTCATTTCAAAAAACATTTGAAGTTTGAGTTGACCATCCATTATCGAGAGCTCTTTTCTGGCCAGTATTTTTTCTGCCAGTGTGTTTTTAAGTCAGACAGCAGAGCCTTGGCAGCCAGCTACTTCCCATTAATCCCTGTAACCAAACACATATCTGCAATAACAGCTGATGAAAGAATCTCACAGCTTAAGTCGGGGTCCAAACTGTGTTGTTTATTACTATGTTGCTGGCTATCTGCTTTCTGGCAGAGGTGCTGTGTGAGTATGTGTGTGTGTGTGTGTGTGTGTGTGTGTGCTGTGTTTGTGTTCATATGTCTGCTTGTTTGTAAGACTGTGTGACAGTACAGAAAAACTGGAGAATGCAAAACGGAAGGTGCAGGTGTGTATTGGTCTCGGTTCAGTAACAAACTCATCTTAGCCCTTCTGTGAGTCACAGTTCCCTTTAGGGCACTTACCACTCTCTAGATGACACCCATGATGCTACTTTCTTTTACTACTGTCCCTTGTTTTACAGAGTAAATCTACAGGTTATGTATTCTTTTTTAAATCTTAGCACGCCCCTTAATGTGTGTGCACACATTTGCATTTATGCATATTTATATGTGATACATACACAGTTTACTTGTGAATGATTGTGTGTGCGTGTGTGTGCAACACAAATGTACACAATAGATGAAGACACAGGTCTGAAATGACACAGTAGGATTAAAAAATGCACAGATAAAACACAAAATGTAAAAATAGACAAGAATCTGGCTGTTATTGCATAGAACTGAATGATGCCCTATAAAAACGTATTTCCATGGTGATAATACGTCCATTCATCATGCATTTTGTTCTTAAATGCACTCTATATGTCAGATTTTGCCTCGTAGTGGTTACATTAGTGTCACCTTTCTGCAAATAGAGAGGAAAACATCACGTAGTAGTAATAATGTTGCCCTGTGATTGCTGTGGTTCTCTACTGCACAATTGGTGAATCTGTTTTTACAGATTTCATGCTTTCAATGTTGCCACTGAGGTTGAATATAGAACTGTATGGTGTCCAAATAATGACTCAATATATGACACCCAAGATGTCGGGAGCAGGGACTTAAAAAGATGGTTTAGCTGTGGGCAGTGTCTAAAATGTTGTTACAGTGACACTGACTGTGACTTTTTTTTTTCCAATTCAAACTTCTACAAGTTGTAACTTGTAAAGTGTCTGCTCAGCTAACACGAACAAACATTTGTTTTGTCGCTAAGCAGCCAGAGGTCAGTGATAATATTAGCATTTCCAGCTACTAACTACAGCTTGATACTTTTTGTGCAAATCACCCTGCATAATAATGTGGCTATATCGAACTAACACTAGTTTTAGCTTCTTCATAAATGCTGCAAAACTCCATCTTTGATTGTATGTTTTTTCTTGCGTGTTGGTGGCCAGGAGCAAAGGAGTGTCCAGCTGCTCCAGTCCTAGAGGAGTGGAGAGTCTGCAATGACCACCCTTGTATGGTGTTCTACTGGGAGGCCTCAGCTTGGGGTCCCTGTATTGAAGATGCCTCCATGAATCTCAATGGAACCAGCTTCTGGAACGGGACCCCTACCTGTTCCGTGGGTGTTCAGATTCGCAAAGTCAACTGTATGAAGATGAATGTTGGACCTGTCATAAGTAAAAGGTACGTTCTCTGACCAGGCACCTCTTAAGCATCTCATTTCTAGATGGTCAGAGGTAATGCAATAACGCCTTCAATTCTATACTATAACTCAATGTTGGGATTCTGTATGTTACATGTTATATACTTTCTATATCAAATGAGCTGTTTCTACAGTTTGATATGTTAGTCTGCAGGCATGTTTTTTACAGTCTGTTGGGAGGCAAATCAATAAGTCACGTCACTTCCTTTTTCCTGTTTACCTTTGGATGGAATTGAGTCAGATTTGCTCAAATGTTGACTGCATTTCTGTAACACTTGACTTTTTTGTCTGATGAGAGATAGATAGATAGACAGATAGATAGATAGATAGATAGATAGATAGATAGATAGATAGATAGATAGATAGATAGATGGATGTAAGCGTATCAGCATCCTCCACGGTTGTTTTCATTCATATAATATGACTTTTGGTCATAAAGAAAATAAGTGAATATGTTATTTCAGCCCACACAATCAGTGTTTTACCTATTTCAAACATAGTTAAAAATAAGAATTACATGTACCAAATGTGCCAATTAAAATGTCTGTTCTTGAGTCATTATGCCAGAAAAGCAATGGCACTTTGTAACAGAATAGTTTATTCATCTATCCCTGTCTGACACTGCAACTTAGTTTTAGATAGCAGAAAATTGATCCCGAGAGAAACAACTGGTAAAATTATGGGCGAGGAGTAAAAGAGCTTTATAAAATCTGGGGAGGAGTTGAGAGGGGATCATATTTCTCTTACAGAAAAAATCATTTAAGTTTTAAGATTCCAAAAAGCATTTTACTTGAAGATAGTGTGTGCCTTTACTTACTGACAAATGACCCAGAGGACTTGATGCACTGTGAAATTATATCCGCAGAGATTTGTACATTGAGCTCTTCTTTTGTGCTTTCTGCCAGTGTTTAGGATTTTTTATTTTTTTTTATGTGAACCTGATATTCATTTTGCTTATGTTCAACCATTATCTACTCCTCTTTCCGCAATACAATATCAAACACTGCTAAAGGCTTTTGTGCTGTCACTGTAATGATGTTATAGCCCACACCAGGAAGATAGATTTATAAATAATTCACAAAATTTGCCCTTCTTTAGCTCGATATATTATTGACAGGGTCATAAAGTGGATTATGAAGAGGCTTTTTTCTTATGAACATCCTATCTCCCGCCACAGAGGCTTTAATGAAAGCTGTCATTTCTGCTCCACCAACAGATCTTGCCTTTACAGTATGCTGTGAATTCAATCGCTTCTTTGCTATTCATGTCTAGCTATAGAGTTTAAATTTAATGTAACAGCATCTAACACATACCTCAGCACGTTGCTATTCATCATAGTTGACTTTGTCTATCAGTAACAAATTACTGGGACTGTCTGCTGTTTTTCCTTCATGTACAGAGTGTAAGACCCAATCAGGGTTTGACTGTGTCCATATTAAACAGCATTTTGCATAACTTCTCAAAACCCATACAGCATTAATACACAGAAGACAGATACACTGCGGCTGCATGTTTCCTAGACTGATTCAAAGTGATTCCGAGTGTTCAGCTTCTGCCATTTTCATGGCTTTAACCCCTGTTTATCTTAAAATGTGTTTGATATGCAGGAATGTCCTTGATATTTCTAAATCGTTCTCATCTGAGGAGCAGATGCACCCTGAATATATTTGATATTGAGCTTCTTGAGAAGGGTCACTCCAGTCAGTAAACATCTAAGCATTTAATGCTTAGCAATAATCTCCGCAGTGAGCAGTGGCTCAATGAAAGGTGAGTAGGTGTTTATTGGTACCTGTTTGGAGCCAAAAACAAATAGATTTTTGTTTAATTTCTGCCCCCTTTTGTCACATATTGAAGCTAAAATATGAGTTAACAAACTAAAGTAGTGGCGACAAGAGTGTAACCTATAACAGTTTTTGTGATGTACTGTATTGGTACTAAATTATCATTTTTAATAACATACTGTAATGAGGATGATGCAATTGCACATGGTAATATCAATACTCATTACACTTAAAAGGCCCAATTTTTTTTTATATTTGTTTTTTAGTTAATTGTTGGAGACATCTTGTTGGTTGTTGTTAACTATGTTCAGAGGAGACAAAGCACATCATTAAGTGCTATCCTGTAACAACAACACTCACTTAAACTTCAATATAAATGTTTAGTATTAATATTATTAGTATAAACATTATAAGCTAACTTGTTATTATATGCAAATGATGAATTAGGTATTGCAATTTTGAAGACATAATTAACAATGTGTGAGAGACATTTAATGTTTCCAACCATGTCACAGTTGAACACCGTGGCCTTGACTGTAAGTCTGATTCCCTCATTCTGTGCGTACCACATGATATTCCCCCAGCTGCTCTGTTGCGTTGCCATGCCCTCTGGCATGCATCACTGCAAAGAGGGAGAGAGAAGAGGAGGGATAAAGCTGGGGAAGGATGGGTTTTATGTATCTTGCCTCCTTATGCTTTGGCATACTTTGATCTCATTCCTGTGCGTGCTGGCTTTCTGCAGTTGCTAGGATGTGGCACCATGCTGGGTCTCTAGTGAGACCTGGATCTGGTTGTCGAGTAAAGGAAGTCACTCACTCTGAAAAAAATTGAGATGTCTATGTGTGTGTGTGTGTGTGTGTGTGTGTGTGTGTGTGTGTGTGTGTCTCTGTATGTTTGTGTTTTGGCGGGGGGGGGGTGCTACTTGATGAAGACATCAAAGCTTAGACTTATTTGATTTAACATAGCTGCATTAATCCACACCACTTCAAGGTTGGCACGTCACACAAAATGTAACACAGCCAAAGGGTACATTACAGATACATTACACAAGATGTGTAGCAGCCTTAATACAGAGGAAATACGTGATTATTTTCTATTTCAAGATGCAGACATTGGTAAAAGTCTGTGAAGTGCTCTCTAAAACCTAGTAATGGTGTCCTTGGTGTGGCAGGAATGATTCATTGGTAAACAGTTTGCATATCCTCACTTTTCTCAGGTTTAATTAGCAGCCATGCTGTGGACTGTGATTGATTTTTCCTCCTTGAACACTCTGTCTCCTTGGTGGCAACAAAAGACTACTGTGGCTGTTCTGTACATGTATACAGGGAGATAAATGCACTTATCTGGTTGTTTAAACTGATCCGAAATTTGTTCCTCCTAGTTTACGCTGACCTGGTTACACATTTTATACATTCACTCCCTTTGATGTATTATGTATCATTCCATGAACACAAGTACTGTAACTCTTTATATCTTGAATATTGTTATTGATTATGCATATTCGTAATTCTTAATTTATTTATTTATTTGCAACCTAGGGCCAGTGGAACAAAATACAACATTGATATATTATCACCTCATGAAGCTGATATATGTTGAATTAATTGCAAATCCAAAACATTAATTGGAATAGATTCCAATTATTACCTGATGTTCAAAGCACTTGGGATTTGTTGTACTCTGAATTAAATAAGGTGGTTGATAAACACTCCTCATAGAAACTTTAAAAAGTTAAAGGCAAATATTTACCTTGGATCAACTCTGAACTATCTATTTTTAGGCAAAGAGATAGCGCATGGAAAAAAAAGGAAACATGCTGAGTGATAAACATATAGACAATTGAAAAAATATCAACAAGACCAAAGTCAGAAATGCTAAATCTAAATACTAATAATTACTAACTGCCTTTGTGATCATTTTAAAAACTTTAAGCACTCCTGGATCAGAATCAGATAAGTGTGTTGACAATCAGCATTTTCAATCTGGCAGTTCTAATTTAATGTCTAGCTTTGTTAACATGACTTTTAATTCTATTTTACCTAGTCACCTTTAACAAATTATCTCCTACTGAGGTCTGAAATGCCATTGGTAATTTAAGAGAGAGCAGTGGTTCATTAAACTTAATTAAATTAGCATCTCATATTCTTCTGTATCCACTGCCAATTTGTTTAATCAGACATTATCTATGACAGAGGTGACACACACAAGTATTTATAATCAATTATCATTGTACTTTTAATTATAAATATATCCTATTTTTATTTAAGTTTGGTTTTGGGTCAAACCATTCCACAACTACTCCTCACTTCTTACATTTATTTGATGTTTTCCCTTCATCCAATATCGGTAATCTCTGTCATTTGTTTGTCTTGCTAAAGCTTTTGACCTTTACAAATTCATTTAGAAGTTCCATGCTGTTGGCCTTCCTAAACATGCATTGTTGTGGTTGGAATTTGTATCTTCATAACAGAAAGCAATGTGTTGTTGTGCAAGGGTGTAAATCAGATTTGCTTACCCACTGAAAAGCTGTTCCTCCAGGTTCTACTTCAGGACCACCTATGTTTTCTATTCGTATTATTTATGATCTAGCATTATTTTTTTCTGATCATTGTGTTCAATTATGTGCAGATGATACTATTATATTTACATAGAAATCTTCCTAATCACAAGTTCAAGAGCAATCTGAATTTGACATTCTACAGACTTGATTGTCAGCTCACAAATTTCTGTTCAGTATAAATAAATATTATACATTTGTTCTTGATACAGGACAGAACCTAAACTCCAAATACAACTCTCTGGTTTTAGCTTGCAATGGGGATATATCACTCTAGGAAGTTGATAGAATTAAATATTTTGGTTCATAAATGGATATTGAAGTTACTTTCAAACAAGGCATTGACACATTGTGAACAACAAAAAGTTTAAAAAAAAATTGTGGTGCTGATGTTCCGTATCATTCTTCTCAAGGTTTTACATTTATTGTCAGAAAGAGAATTGCTTCGCCACAGATTCAAATAGGGATGTTCTTGCTTTTATGTATCATTGTACAATGCTTGGTTCACTCAGATGGCTCCCTCATTGACAGTATATAAAAGCTCCCCCTTGATACACCAATTTAACTGCTTCACCGTATCTTTAAATGCATTAAATGTAACTATCCTTTTTGCTTAAAACAATTCTTTGTGGCTTATACTTCAAAATACACACTTAGATGCTCTGGTCAGATCCTCTTTGTGTTTGTGGGAAATTGTTAAAACAGCTTTTATGTTTAGGGCCCTTCTGAGGGAAATAATTTACCTGAAGCCCACATAATCTCTTTCTATTATTTGGCTTATTTGAAAATGTTCTGTTATCACAGAATAACACAAATGTGTTGAAATAATGCTATCACTGACTCTTACTCCGTAGTTTGATCATTTATTTTAATGGCTATCTTAAGGTCGTTACTCTTTTCTGTTTTTGTTGAGTAGAATGTATTACTTTTTCCTTTGCATTGTTGGGTTGTGTTATGCGTTGTGTCTTGTGTTTCATATTTTCTTTTTGTTTTCTTTTTGTTCTTGTGAGTGTTTGTTTATTCGGAGACAATACATAACAGTTTATCATGATACAATAAATTTGACTACACTTTGACTACAAGGAGAAATTTTAGTTTTTTGTTTGGATTTGTTCAGCTCTGCTTTGGTCTTTACTCTGAGAAAACATCTGGCTCTATAAAAGCGTTTTTATATGCCGCCATTTGTTCACTAGCCAGTTGCTAACTTTGTCTGTCTGCTGTTTGGTTATGGGCTGGTAGTGTACAGTGGGTTTGTCAGGAGGAGCAGTTGAGGAGGTTGATGAGAATGAAGTTGTGGGATGGAAATCCAACACAATGATCCAAAACAGACTAAAAGGCTCCATAAAGCTGAGAAGAACTCCAGAGCTGAGGTGATAATTGTCACGACAAGCCACCCCTTCCACTTTACACGTAATGTATTTGATCTAATGCTGATATAAAACATTTTTATTAGTGCAGCTTTAAGATAATTGGTTTTAAAACTGACCAACTATTATGAACCATAAAATACGGGCACTTTGTGCACTCCAATAGCAGGAGGATTTTTCTTTCATAGAGCAATATTTGTACCCTGGGAAGCGACTGAATGTGTGAGAAAACTGTAAATTTTTATATTTTTTCCCCTTTTGCCTGAGCGTGTAGGCAGGGGGACATGTAATCAATCATGTTTTCTGTGGGGAGATGTGTGATGTCAAGGACAGGGCAGTTGTTTCACTGCACTGTCCTGTTACCAGCGAAACTCAGGACGTTTATCATTTATTGCCTGTGGGGATGAAGAGAATTTAAGACCACTGTTTGTCTGTTTAGGTGTTCGGATTCTGCTCGTCCAGAAACCGTCCGACCGTGTTTGCTACCCTGCAAGAAAGACTGCATTGTGACACCCTTCAGTGAATGGACAGCCTGCCCATCAACCTGCATGCAAGGTAGCTCTTCTCATGAAATTTTCAAGGAAACATTACTTAAACTAAAACTCAATATCTTTGGGTTTTGAACTGTTGGTCAGTCAAAAATAGCAATATAGATATATCAACTTGAATTTTGGGAAATTTGATTAAAAAAGTTTTATTGATCAAACAACTGGTCGATAAATTGAAAAAATAATCATCAGATTAATAGAAAATGAAAATAATACTGACCTGCAGCTCTGGAAAATATATAATTTAATTATTATTATTTAATTATTTATAATAGTATAAAGCTACACTATCAATACACAGTATGTGGAAAGCCTCATAAGGCATGAGGCTCGTTGTTTTACTGTTACTGTTCAATGTTGTTTTATTATAACAATGCCACCAGAGACTAGAGGTATAAAATGTAGCCATACAAATGTGCACTACCTTGATGTCTCTTGTGTATTCAGTGATTAGTTTTAAGTGTAAATGACAGTGTTAACTGTCCATTACATTAAGCTGACACACCAAGAGGAAAATGGATATTTAATGGGTTTCAATATGTGTATTGTAAGTATCTTGGAAATCAAAAAGTATGTAATTGTTTTTAAAAGAATTGAGCAGGCATCTCGTCTCTGTAAATATGCTGTAGTCCATTGGGTCCGCTGATGATGTAATCACTTTCTTAATTGCACCATTTTCAATGTTTAGTAATTAGTGTTGTGTAATGAGCCTTAGAGCGTGAGCCAAATGAAGCCATTACAGTGTGGTGTGTCCGAAAACAGACTGCAGTGAAGTGGAGGACATCACACTCACAAGGGCAAGCTAATCAGGATCAGATCAACTTTGAGACCACTTGTTTTTTAGCCATCTCTTTGAATATATTAGACTGCAGTGGTGATATTGTGTCTCCATTTGTTTGGTGTCCCCGACTATACTTGTCAGCCATTTGTCCCAGTATCATTTTACTTTCTCTTCCTCCTGGAAAGTATTCACTTAAATTCAACTGTGCAACTAATCTGCCACTAAACGCAGCCTTTCTGTGAAGATTGTGTTTCATGTTCAACAGATAATGCAACTGCCGCCACACAGTCTCGATACAGGACCATCATTCAGAGGTCTGCTAATGGAGGTCAAGAGTGTCCTGACACACTGTATGAAGAAAGAGAGTGTGAATCACTTCCTGTATGTCCAGTGTATAGGTAAAAGCGCAATTTATAACCAACCGTTTTCCTTTCTTATCCAAGGATAAGTTATCTTCATTTATCTGCTATATAATAGCACAGTGTTCTGTAAGTGCAACCTATTTGTAAATAACCAGTGTCAAAGGTGTGCACTAAAGTTGTGAAATACTTGAGATGTATGCATGTGCTTTTATACATCAGACAACATGACATATGACACATACTCTCATGTGGCTCATACAGTGTAATGGTATTAGTAAACATGGGGGCATTTTTGTACTGCAGCATAGAAAAAAAGCAGAATGTAGACACAAGCAGCCTGTCGAAGCTGTTAGAATATAACAAGGCCACTTGTGCTTAATCAGTTATTGCTATTAATGTGATAAGCCACGAACAAATAGGAAAGTTATTTTCTGACAGCTGTGATAGTTATTGTTATAGGGAGGTTATAAATTCAAACTATAGTTCCATAAAGTTACAGAGCATATGTATACAGCACACTGGTGAATAAGAAAGCAGGATTTAAGCATTCTTACTAGCTTGTAACTAGCTTACTATACAGTAGTTCATACAAATCTGTTCAGTATAGTATTTTGATGAGGTGTGCTAAAATATTCCTTGTTTAAAGAAACCACCTGTCATATTTGGGGTTCGATAGCAAGCACCTTTAGATATATACGTATACTGATATGTAGTCTGCTCACTGTAACTAGTGCAGTACTACTATTGGTTTTTATTTTTATTAGTGTTTGGGATTCAGTTTTATGGTGCTTCCTTGTTGAGACTGAATATCAATAATTGATTAATCATTAAAGTTAAGAAGTAGGCTTATAAGTTTATACAAATCGCCTGTAATTTCCCCATTTTTTTTCCTCAGACCTTTTTTTAACAATTGACATGGGCAGTACAAACCAAGAACATTATACACTTTAAATAATATATTGATAGGATGTACTGTGGATTTAGAGATAAACTCAAAATCCTTAAGAATGGTTCGTTTTTATAATGGGATTATTTAAATTGTTTATAGACTCTTGATACTACTAACCAATAGCATTATTCAATTTGCAAATTAGAATATGTAAATGTTGCACAAATCAAGAACTTTTGCCTGCTGTGTAAATGAAGCTGCAGTAATACACTGCCATTCCAAAGTCTTTCTGTCTTTGTGTTCTTGTGTAGGTGGAAGACCCACAAGTGGCACAGCTGTACTCTGGTTCCAGATTCTGTTCGACGTGGATTATCTGGACCAGAAGAAGCCTGTGGAAATGGTTTAGAAACACGAGGCAAGTGTTTTCTTTCTTTGCTGACCTATTATATTCTCTAGACTTGCTGCTTTATCACCATTTTGTTATTTGCTCTTCCATCTATTTACTCTCCTTATTTAATGGGACCTAATAGCCCTTTCAAAACTGCTCCTTTAACAAGCAAGTGATGGAAACATTAAAAGACAGAGGCAATTTGTCCAGAGACTGTAATGAGATGAACCTTTCCATCTGTTGTCTTGATGATCTCATCACAACACTAGTTTCTTATTAATGAATGCAACAAATGGCCACAAGCCCATTTTAACAGCAGGTTGAAAAAATGAGCCTTGTTACTCACAGAATCATGTGTGGACTGACTCACACAATAAAGTTTAAAAAACTATTTAGAAACCTGTTCGGCTCACACAACATTGCCAATACAGTTTTATTTTTTTTTTTTTTATGAAATGATGAATATGTGCTTCATAGCTCGAGAATCCGGAGTTATAAAATCTGACATTGACAGAAACTGTGATTTATAGTCCGTAAATCAGAAATGAAAATAAACACTCACAGAACACACTCTATTAATAATGTAACACAAGAAGAGCAAAGCTATAAAAAAAAAATATTCATAATCCACAAAAATAAATTTTGTCACTTGTAAACAATGAACGTTGGTTGTCCTCAATGTATAAACATATAACAAATGTGTTTTCCTTACATGGGCACTCAAGGTGTGTCATTTTTTTTGCAGTCTGCAGGTAATGTGCAGTTAATTCAAAAGAGTATACAGCCCCCAGTAGGTTGGAGGTTGATTCTTCCTTTACTGCTGACATTTTAACTCTGGAACTGTTTTTTTTTTTTTTTTTTTTTTTTTTATGTGGCTGTGTGTATTTTATCTCTGTTGTCTTAAAACCAGGAGCAAGACTGTTGCCATTCTGCACTGCTGTGCATGACATAATTCCTGCTTAATAAAAAATATGTTTTTCCTTTATGGGGATACTTTCCTCTTTACAACTTATTATGACGTGTTGTTGATGATTATCTGCAATATGTCCCATATTGCATACCATCATGGTACAGTGCAATCATCACTATTGGCAATATTTATTATTGTATCGTGTCCCTGTGACCCCTAATTGATTGTGCTCTGTGAGCATGTGAGTGTGTTTGAGTGTTTTCTGGACTCTGCAGATTCCTGAGTACTGTCCTTTGTGAAGAACTGCATTTCTCTGAGTGGAGTTGTGAAAACGACTGCCACTGGCCCAAATCGTTAAAAAGCCAAGAGTGTTAATTGGATCATTTCAGACTCGTTTAGAGGAAAGCAAATGTCCCAATAAATCCCAGAAACTGGCTTTTCTATCTAATTTACTGATGTGATTCAAGCAAAGTTTTCAGTGTCTTTCTGTGCCGCCTTGAGAACTTTCTAGCTTTTCTGCTCTTGCTGTTGCTCCCTTTTACTTAGCAGTGTAATTATTACTGATATTTCTCAAGTGTGTTTCTATGACTTTTTAGTGAGGATACGAAAAGTGTCTGTAGTGTTCCCAGGTTAAGAGCAACCCTCATTGACCTTTAGAGCATCCTATTTGAATATGATTAGAAAATGACTAAGTTAAATACCTGTGACATTTCAAAAATGGAAAGTATGAGACTGGAATTTGTAGTTGGTGGATATACAGAATTTAAATATAGGTTTTATGCAACAAAGAATTTATCCATGGTTGTCTGAACCAATCCAATACAAAATGCCATATAAATGTCAAATTGGGGCATAATTAGGACACAATAATTGGGAATAGGGCTATATTAAATGCATAGAAACTTTGAATAAAGATATATGAAAGATTTAATGACAGCATGTTGTGGCATAGCAGTGCATAGCATATAGCATGGGTTTCACAATTATATTATTCAAGGACCTTAAAAGATGCTGCAATGCCCTGCCAAAGATCTCCGTATGCCTTCATCCATCCACACTCAAAAGTACAAATTACATTATGGTCTGATTTAGATAATGTCACTACTGATGAAGATGAAGCTTTGTGTTAATGTAATTACTCTTATAAGTATGCAGTTTCTAGTCCAAATGCAAATGATGCTTTATTCATTTTCTATTTTCCCTTTTGAAACACGCTCATAATATTCCATATAATGTTAGTTTCCATAAACTCAGTATTCACTATAGTTGCTGTATTTACAGCAGACAGGTGCGTGAGATGGTATTTATTTCAAATATTTCTCTTCATTGAGAAATTGAATATGAACAAGGAAGTTGTGCTGCATTATCATGTCAGACATACAACTTGTTCCACTGCAAAACATAAGCCGTTTCTCACTTTAGCACTAAAAAGTCAGTGGTGCATTTACATTCACTGCCTGACGTAGGAAAAGCTTCTCTTCTCCAAAATGATGGTCTCTTAAACAATACATTTCACATTCATTACAGGTAACACTGCTGTCATTATTAAACCATTATTGATTAATAATGATTTCATATAATAAAGCATGTAGTCATTTGTAAAACTTTCAGGGCTCATAAGGATAATCATTTTCAGGGCTAATAAGGATTACGGTCTTGCCCAATCAGGCTTTGTTAACTGTTATGTCATTTAGTCATAAGTAATTATCGACAAATCCTGTACCTTTATCTCTAGGTTAGATTGATTGGCAACTCTAAATTGCCCGTAGGCGTGAATGTGATAATAAATAGTTGCCTGTCTGTGTGTCAGCCCTGTGATTGACTAGAGACCTGTACAGGGTGTACCCTGCCTCTCACCGAGTGCCAACTGGGACCTAATATAGATAATAGATGAATGCAGGAATCAACAAATTTGTAAATGACTGAGTTTTCTGAGATTGACTGAGATTAGTTATTATATGAATAAAACATTTTTAAATCATTTAATTGTGAATAATTACCACACATTAAGATACCAAAAATGGGGAAAACATTTAAGAATTAAAAGGGGTTAGTACACTTATTATCCTTATCAACCATATGTTCACTCTCAGCATGAAGTGTTGCATGGTAACACATGATAAAGATGTAGTGCTACTTAGTTGCACTGTGCAGTTTTTTGGGGTCTAATTATATCGGTCTGTCTTCTGGCCACAAACAGCCAATGGAAATATTTTCCATCCGACTGCCACGACATTTGCTTGCTGAGCAGTGTGTCACAGCTCAGACAGGCAGATTTCAGATGTATTTTAGAAGGAACCAGGAACTCAGTTTTTCCTCAAATTTTCTTGGCTCTTGTATATTCATAGAGTCATAGAACTCAGGATAATGCCAAACTCTTCCTCTAGTTATAATATTTTCAGCTCACCTTTGCCTCTATTTGTGACACTTAGTGCACATCTGCATCTGTTTCCCTGACTTTGTTTGTATTCATGTTGCATCCAAATATATCTGAATGACAGCATTTCCCACGTTTGCTTTGTAAATTGGGGGTGCATCTACATGAAGTGGTGGATGTAAACCGCATTGTTTGTATTGCACTGAACTTTTGTCAATATTGTTTCACCCTTAATTACAAGAATACCTACAGTAGTTGTTGTGTTTAATATAATCAGTGACAGTCTGGCTGAACTAACACTAGCAATGAGTCAACACAATTTTTCTTTCATTATTGTGGCTGCCAGGTTGGATTTCCTGTGAGAATTACAAGAGTGTGGGTTAAGAAATGGTAGTTTTAGTACAGCCCTGGTACACTGCTAGATTACTAGTGTTGAGTAAACAAATCCCAGTTACCAAACACTTAAAATATTGGCTATTGATTTTCAGCCCAGTCAGGAACAGCTAGATTCCTGGACACATTGGCTCAGGCATTTACTCTAAGGTCAGAATCAGAGCCAAGTTTCAGACGTAAGCATGTGATTTAAGTTTGTTGTTTACATAGCCAATATGCCCTTGGCTTGAGTAAATACTTTCTCACTTGTCTGGCCCCATGTCGGATGCAGGCTGCATGTTGAATGGATGCTAATGTCTGACCAAATGGTAAAATGAGTTGAGGGTTGTGGTACATGCTGACCCGATATGCTGGGGGTCATAGATAAGAGCCATTACTAAATAAGCCAAGATTTAAAAACAGTAATCCTAACCTTGCCGAAAGTAAATCCTTCACTATATAGAACAGACAACTCTGAAAAACATATATGAAGTTGTAGCTGATAACTTGGGTTACACAACGAATTAATGGATTTCACACTTACTACAACACACTGTCTAAATTCTGCCAATGTGTGGCTCATAACCAGCTGGGTTTGTTATATCCCTCCCTGAGTAGAACTGGAACTGTTTTGAGAAATTATTCAATAGAAAATGAGTCATGCTGATGATCTTTTGCTGCAGGAAAAATTAGTCCATAATGAATCCAATCCACATTACTCTTCCCAAGGAATCACATAGAAGAACAGTATACAAGCAGTATGGTTGAATTAACATAAAGATTATATTTAATGTGAGGGGCTTTTATGAGATGAATAAGTATTAAAAGTAATTATAGAAAATGTAACATGTTCAGGGTCGGATTGATAAAAGCTTGCAATTGATATTTAAAAATCTGAAGTGTCACATTCCTCTTCAAAGCTACTCCCTTCAACTGTTCCTCAGAAATGTTCACCTTTCTAAGTAGCTGTATAATTAACGACGATCCTTGTCACTGGTGGAGATCCCGTGAAAAAAAATTTGAGAGAGGAGAAGATGTGAAAGGCCACGTAAATGGGCTTGGGCAACCAGAGGCTGAAATTATTATGTTAAAAATGTGTGGCATCCAGTTCAAAATCAAAATGTCAGTACTTGCAGTGCTTGGATCTGCTAATACAAGACATTAGGGAAAGAGAAAGAGAGAAGACCATTCAAGGTAAATGGACAGAACTAAGTGTCAACAGGGACGTGTTATTATCCCCACAGTGGTGCTCATTGGACTAATAGTACTGTAGCAGCTGTTAATGATTTGTTGTTTTTCAAACAGGATTGTTAAAAGGAAAAAAGGGATTCACATTTGAAGGTTCATCATAATAGCATCACTCTTTAACCTAAACACGTACATTGAAAAATAGAAGATCTTTTTTTTATAGCTGTGATTGTGAACGTTACATAAATGCACTTCAATAATAGCTATCGTCTCCCTTTCAATGCCTTTGTAGAGGCCTTGTATGTAAATGACCATCCCACACATTCTCGACAGACATGTAGAAATCCAACAGTTTTTGTCAGAGGGCAAAATTTAAAAGTCAAATAGAAATCAATAAAATGGATTAAAGGCATGTTTGTATATCAGTGAATCCTCAAAGACACAGAGGCATTCTGGGGAAGAGAATTATATTCACTGGTAACATTGCTTTATTTAAATTCCAGTGTCCATGAGAGAACAATGTATTTGATCACTGATCCTGTGTACTCTGTCTGTCGTCTCTTATTTATTGTTTAAGAAGGCTTGAGTCCAATCAGCTGCTCCTGTCCAATTAGTGGAACATGAAAAAACTACATAAATCCTTTGTCCTTCTCTCTCTCTCTCTCTCTCTCTCTCTCTCTCTCTCTCTCTCTCTCTCTCTCTCTCTCTCCTTAGTTAGCAGACTCTACAGGAGCGTACTGTCCACACACCTACTCATTTGATCTTTGATTTTATTTTATTTATTTAATCCACTCAGATTAGGTTTATCACTATTTTTAAGGCTTCTCATTCATGTTGCTTCCCTCTTATCTGGGCTGAATCACTGCACTGACACTCACAGAATGATTATTCCTGCTAACATCCATGCAGACTGAAATATCAGTGTTGGAAATTAAGGAAATGTTTTTACCTGGGGAGTGATACATGATAAAAATAATGCAGTTTGTGTTACTTATTTTTCTTGTTGACTTGTCTTAGTGACACTTTAGTGTGAGTCTCCATATCTTATAAACACAAATTAACATCTAATCCCCCCAAAATGATACTGATGCAGTATCTGTAGCAAGACATGGTATCCTGGTATAATAAACACTTAGTTAAAAAGTGCATCAATAAGAAAATATTTATATGTTCACACAAATGAAACACATTTAAGCGCTTAAGAAAATACATATCTTGAAGCACAGACATTATACCAGTGTCACAGGAACCTTCATTAGTATGCAAATATATGCAGCAAGGCGCTTCAAAATCAAATCATCTACTCTAGAGAGATAACCTGTGGTGTAAGGAAATTTAAAGTAGTTAGTATTCTTGAGATATGCCTCTCACAGGAATGCACTTAAAAATAAAATAATACAAACAAGGACTATTTTCATGTGTTTAAGGCAAGCTTTTGCTCTTTTATGTAGTGGTTCTGACGTACCTCACATATTGACATTCCTTCAGTCTTTTTCCTTAATTACAGCTAGCTCTGTCTTTTCTGAGAGTGGCCCTACTTCTTTGATACTCATTTTGATGTAAAAGATATAAAATAATTCTAAAACACGTATTTAGGGTATTTTCCAAAGTGATCAAACCCAAATTGGACTGAAAATGTGCTTATAGTAAATTGAGTGCTACATTAGGTGTTTAGTAACCCATCTGGTCTTGCTGTGTGTTCAAAGTAATTATTATACCACAGGCACATATTGCAGCAATATTAAAGGGTTGTGATGTCTTTATTCTTCATTGATCAGATACCGATACACTGATTAGATAGTGTATACATCATTCTGTCAAAAGTATTTAGCTTTCACGTTAATCGGTTATTCTGTATGCCTTGTTTTTATTCAATAAATCATAGTTATCTGAAGGATGTCTGATAAAAGGTTTTGTGCTTGAAGGTTGAATTAGCATTTCACCATGTTTTACATGAAGGCTGCACAGGGATATTCTTTATAGCTATGGTTTATGCAATGACTATTATATAGCTACCTTTTCTTTTGTACGACCAAACATAAAAAAAATGGATTAATAGATGTTTCCCTCCCTGTTCCTGAAAATATCTGATATAAAACAATACCATACCTGAACTGAATGACTTAACTTGTTATCTGTTATGTGTGCATTGTCTCTATAATTGGAGTAACATTCTTCGCCCCCCCCCCGTGTTTGCAGGAGTCAGTTGTGTTGAGGAGAGCGGTGAATCGGCCAATATAACAGAGTGCCTGCAATGGGCTGGCCCCTTGCCCCCTCAGAGCAGAGAGTGCTGGGTAGCTTGCAAGGATGACTGCACTCTAACACCGTGGTCCAAGTTCTCTGAATGCGCTGGATGTGGCAGCTCCCGCAGTCGCAAGCGCTCACTCACAGGTAAATCCTTGACTTTTATTCACAGATTGTGAGACACAGAATTCACTCAAGTCAACAGTTTCATCTTTACCTATAGAATGACTAACTTCTTATGTCAAGCATTCTGGAAAGCCTAAAGCCACAAAACTGTTGTGTTCTTTCATACTACTAAAAAACACTTAATGCTGCACATTTGTTGCTGGTTATCTCTATATCTCCACCCGCCAGCTCTACAAGAACCTTGTATGTATTAAAGCAGTCACCTTGTACACTCATTCCAAAATGAACATTCCTGGATCTTCAGGGTTGTTATCTTTACAGCATACTCTTCACGTGCTGGAAAGCCCCTGTGCTGTGACATATATACCGAAATCCAGTCCAACCTCTTTTCTCGTTCTGGTTCTGTTACTGTAACTTTCTACTGTCCCTGTAGTGTTACGTCAGGTCTGAAATTAGGTCTCTCACAGCTTGTAATCCCTTATTTCAGTGCAGATGGCAAAATCTGAATTACATGCTGTGGTTGCAGACCAGGCTGGATACTATTTGTCTTCATGAATATTTGATCCGATGCCGGAGGGGTTGTAGTAAACATACCCTGTCTCCTTCTATAATGCTCTTAGAATCCAACACATGAAATCAGCCTTAGCTCAGTGGTGGGCTTTATTTGGAAAGAGTGTGTGCTCATGTTCAAAGGGTTGTAATGACCATAATAGATAAGTATTTCAACTCTTTAATGCCAACTTTAACACTTCCTTAAATTTCTGTGTCAGGTAAATTGATGGAAAGCAAATCCAATGTGGGTTTTAAGCTGTAGTATGTGGGTAAGGAAGCTGGCAGCTTACCAAGGCTTTTGCTTAGATGAAACAACCATGTTGAAAAACCTCCTTGAGCCACACATTTGTCTGTATAAACTGAAAGTCCTTTTGAAAGTCCAAAAGGCTACTGGATTTCCTAAAGATCGGCTAAAGTCAGCATATGTCCGTGCACTGGCAGGAGTAAAGGCTACATTCATACAGAAAACATTGGCAGGCACTGGGCTTATAAAAACACAACAAAGACAAAGTACACAACACGAGCAATATAATTATCTAGTTTGCATACAGCACATTCTGACAGGCATTTGCAAGTTTTGTATATATAATGTTTGTGTTGTCATAATTTAACAACCTCCGTCGTATCATGCCACTTATTACCCGACAGTGTGTTTACAAATAAAACAAACCGAGGCCTTGAAAGGAGAAGGACATAAAATGAACAGCCACACCTCGGCACTGTGTTACTTTGTCAGCTTCTGACACCCAAATATACCCCCTCTCCTTCACACACCTACAAACACACACACACACACACACACACACACACACACACACACACATCATTTGTTTTTTGTAGGTTTGATGTTACATATCTGACTTTAAATTTTTCCCTCAGAAGCCCATATAATATTCTCTGTGTTTGAATTTAATACTGTTTGAGTCACTTGAACTGAACACTGTAAATTGTCCCATTGGCATGAATGAGAGCATACTTCGCAGTCAGCACTGTCACTTTAAGCAAGAATGTTCTCGATCTGGAGTCCTGAGGGAGGCCGCTGCCTTTCTGTGAGGAATTTGCATCTTTATCCCATGCGGGTTTCCTCCAGGTGCTTCCATTCCCTCCCACAGTCTAAAGAAGAACATGCAGATTAGGTGAACTGATGATTCTAACATTTCCCATAGGTGTGAATATATTTGCATCTGTGCACTGGTGACCTGTCCAGAATACACACTGTCTTCACACCTGTACCACCTCTTACCCAATGTGTGCTTGTGCTTTGTTCACATTTTCTTTTAGTCTTTATTTTCTTCTCAGAAACCCAGTTGTATTTACTGCTCATGTAGAGTAGCATTGGAGAGTCAATTTCGGGCTACTGTTGGACTGAGACTGAGAGCTTACACCTGTTTGCCTTTTGTCATTTGCTGATAACTGTTAAGCTGAATACCTCTAGGTTTGTTTGTTGTTTGGACCAACCAGAGATCAACACGTTTTTTTATATTGGCCCTGTGATTGAGTGTTCAGTCGCATGTTGCTTCCCTGCTTGTTGTTCAATGCATGCTGAGATAGACCCTTAAACCAGTAAGTGAAGTGTATGCTGGATGTGCATGGCTTCTCAGGCACAGTAGCAATCATCGCCTTTATGGACTAATATGATGCTTGGCAGATGTTTTGCATCTTCAAAAGTGCTGCAAGTAACAAATTTTAACATCATCTATCATCTTTAACATCTTTAACTGATACCGAGATGTTGATATACTTACAATAAATATATAAATGACACTATAATACAAAAGATTGAAAGCCTCTTTCAATCATATATCAGCAAAACACAAAATTAAAGTCTCATTTTTCAATAGACTTCCGGCTCCTGTCGTAATGTCGCTCCTTGTCAAGAGCTCTGAAAACTTTTACTGTTTACTTTGACAAACTGCATAGTGGATTCCAGTTTTCTAGTTTGTTTACATGTATTATACTAATGTCTTAACATTAATAGGATAATGATTTATTGATGTTTAAATTATACACATTTATCCAGATGCTGCTGGTATCTAAATCTGTCTCCTGTCAGAATAAAGGATTACTTGACTTGGGTAGAAAAAAATATTCAAAAAATGATGCGCACATAAATGTTTTTCCCATCGCTTTATTGGCAAGTATTGAGTTGTAGCTAATTTCTTTCTCAGGCAGCATGTTGACTGTTTTATGGGTATTCATACGTTAAGTCCTGTGAATTATTTCTGCCACAGATCAGAGAGCACAGTTTGGGTGTGTATCTGTAAGAGCTTAACTGCAGATAAATGGTTTAGCTACACTATCCAGCTTTGTTACTCAGCCATTCAGACTTGCTCCGACTCTCTTCTTCAGACTAAGCTTTTAAGCACCTCGTGTGAATCATTTTAGCTTGGCTAAAAAAACCCCACTGTAGTTCTAATGGTCAGTATGCTATAGGGAAGTGAATTTATTTGATGTGATTTTTTATCACGTCATGCATTTTCTACTCCATGTGTTTTGTGATTTCATTGTCCAGGTTTGTTTCTGCTCTTATATTGCTCGATGCTGTTATTTCATTTAATTAATTATTTATTTTTTATGTGCCATATTAATAAAAAATGACTGCGTAATTGATTGGTTGAAATCCACTCAAACTTGCAAGTAAAAGGCCGGGAGGAAAAGTTACCAACTGCATGTATAGCTAAGCTGGAGTGCAGGAAGAGGATTTCTGTGGGATTTATTATACACCTATCTCACAGTACATGGATTTTACTGTCAGTCATTATGTTATTGGAGAGGTGAACTACAATAGAATAGAGAGATTTGTTCTTTTATGAAATGCCTGTCAACTGTTCAGGGACTTTGACGCGTATTGTGAGCTATAGATATTGTAAAATACAGCACGTCTTATAATATTACCAGCCATGCTGTGTCAACAATATTACACTGCTTGAATGTTTTGTCATATAAGTACCTTACAACGCTCTCTTGTCAATGTTGGAACCGTTGTTTCTTTTGGTTTGTCTTTGAAGACTGTTTCAAGTCCAATACATGTTAACAGCTACAGCACTGAAACTCGCTCAGCCCTGTTGGTTAGTAGCCTCACACAGTCAGAAAACATATTATGTTCTCAATTTTCAGTCTAGACACAAATACCCATGAATCAGTTCAGCCTGTTCAAATATGCATCAACCAATAATTAAATTGGTAACATAATTACGAACAATTAAAACTAAGCATTGCATTTGTGGAAATTGAAACATGATATTGCATCACCAGCGATTCTAGTCGGCCGTCGTGTTTTATGTCATTTTGACAATTGGATCAATGACAGACCAGCGTGTGGTGCACTCATCCAATCAAGTGGAGGAAAGGTTCATGTTGACAATTCACTATTCGCTTTTGTCCATCTATTGACAATAAGCCACAATGAGGTAAACAGCTCCTTCACTCACTCCATATTCTTTTCAGCCTACTTTTGGCAGTGTTACAGAGATAAAGAAGACTGCACAATGTTATGTCTGCTAACAAACATTATATAGGGATCATTTTGAATTGCTAAATTATGTTTAATTCAAATGCATAATGTTAAAACAAGTTGGATATTGCTCACTTAAATGCAGATTGTTTGTGGTGCCTGTTGGCCTGTGTGTTGCTATCGCCTGTAATGTAGTTGTCAAAGTGAAGTGATGTTGCACTGGCGCTCCTCAATCAACCACCAGCAGTGGCGTAGATTTAACAGATTGTTGGTGAATTGCAGTGCCGTGGCAGTGAGTTCACACTCTGTGAGGAATGTTTGCAATCAAACCCACTTCAGAAACAGATGGGCTGCTCATTGGGCACACAGGATGCCGAGGACACCCAGGATTCATGAAACAAATAGGGGTGCACAAGTATAACAGGAATAGCAAAACTGCAGTGCACTCTTTCACCAGACTTTGTGCTTGTGTATGTATGTGTCTAGCTCTCCATCTGGCTCACATCAAGCAATTCTGTTAACACTTTTATTTTACAGTACAGAAACAAGATGTTTGCTTTAATTATGACAATTACATAGTAATTTGCTTATCCTTTGGGGACTGCAATTCATTAAAGCCACACTTGGGCATATTGCACTGACTCTGTTCTTTTGGGACCAGCAGGATTAATTTTAACCAAACAACAAGGAAATAACCACTTACAAAGCAAAAGTGTGTGAACATAAAAACAATATCACACCAGGTGTTATGTATTATTGGTTTCATCTTTAAGCAAAACAACTCTTGAAAGAAAGAATAACACATGGGAATTTGCTGTTACTTGATCTGTTGTAGCTTATGGTGGCTAATATTAGCAAACTTTAGATAGACATTACAGCATGTCACAGATAAACAATTCAATGGTTTTATCATGGAAGTAAAACAAGAAGTAAACACAGGGTAACTCACCAGTATACGTGTTTGGTGTTTCCTTCTTGTGGTCCCATTCCACTTGCACACATTTAGGTCAATGATAATGTAATTAAAGCTACTGACTCAGGATTATATAGGTAAAAGTTATAAAGAGATAATTATAATATGTGTTTTAAAATGGTTTGTCAATTAACATCTGGCTGATAATGGTATTTTATGGAATTTTAATAAATGTCAGCCAGGTTATGTGTCCACGGCTGATATATGGCGCTAATTGAAATGCCGAGGAATCAATCAAATTATTACAATTCATCCTTGGGCACAGCCAGTTGTTGTCTCTCTTTATTACATGCCATGAACTGAATGCAGCTCCCGCACGGGGGCAAGTGTTCTTATCAGATACATTATTTGCTTAGCAGTGACACATAGATGAAGAGGCGTTGACAGGGATTATGTTTTAATTTTTATATTTCTTTAACAATGCACTATGGCAACAGTAATATGTCGATAACACCAGGATATTTATAGCTGTGAACAGAACATCATAGCTCTCTTATATAATACTATTCAATGATGTGAAGCAGACAATCAATCATGAACAAGATTTTTGAGCAGTTGGACAGCTTGACAGGCTGTATCTGTTACTTGTGTAGATATTAAAAGTGACAGTGTCTGAGAGGAACACATGGCTTTCAGCTGCTATGTTACTTTCCTGCTTGTGCTCGTCTATTAATACTCATCAGATATAATCGGCGGGACTAATTGTTTGAAGCCTGAAGCGAACTATACTGAGAGGATAGTGCTAATAGACAAAATAGAGGTCTTAATGGAAGTCTTAAGCTTGAAATGAAAAATAAAGTTTCACCCTCATTAGACAAAGAAGTTTGAGCTGGAAAGGAAAAATTCACCAGTGAAAAGTCAGTCTACAGTGCTTCTCTCCATCCATTTTCTAATACTCATTGATCAAGTTTGATGACATGATAATAATGATTGATTTCACAGAAACATTTTGGCACCAAATTCTCCATCAAATGAAGCCCTGGTAGATCAAATGGCAAATCACCAGACATGCTGTTGTGGGTTGGAAAGGATAGTACTACCAAAAAAACTCCCTATATTTACAGAATCATTATGGGAAATGTATGAAATTTTAAGTGATATAAAATGAGACGAGGCAGATTGAGGAAAATAGAGCTCACAAAAAAGAGAATTACATCACTTAATCACAAAGTAACTGAGCTGAACATCACTGACTAATGGTATAATGGTGTATGGACATCTGTGCAGCTCTCAGTTGTCTGCTGTTTCTCCACTATTGTCAACCTCTTAAATCAAAAGCTGTCTAAGCATCGTTGATCATCAATAATAAACTGTAAGCAGTGTGTGCTGGTGAGAAGTCATGGATAAAAAAGGAAGAGAAATAATAAATGTGTATCAGGAGAAAAAAGGCAAGAGACTTTTAAGGGGAGCTTGTCTTTCTGTGTTTCCTCCTCAGAGGGGGAACACAGCTGCAGCAGTTTTTACTCTCTCTGGTCTTAACACACAATGTCTGTATTGTACGTGCTATGCCTGAATATGGCGCATTTGCATACAAATGACATACAAAAGTTGAATAAAACAATAATCTTGCTTGTATTGTACATTCTACATACACATAGTGAGGTGTTTCTATATTATGTAGAAAAACAATTACCCAGGTTTAACCTTCATAGCATGTAGTTGTTATTATGTATCGCACACATCCTGTGTACACGATTGACAAGAGGTCTCAAAATAAAAGAAAAAATTAAAGTTTAATATACTTTAAAATAGCACTAATCATTTCCTGGGGTCATTTATGGTGCTTTCTGAACATGCATTACAGGGAAATGGGCTTCCTTGCCACTGGTCATGCAACACTGTGGAGCACTGATTGACTTTAAATTTGTTATTTTACTTTCCTCTAAAAAGAAACGTCAGCCTATAAGGAAGGGCAGAGCAAGAAGTGAATAAATTAATCCAGCTCCTAATATCTTGGCTACAATTTATATAACTAGACTAGAGAGGCGTTTATTTGAGTATATCTGTGATGGAACCAGATGTGACAACTGGTAAATGAATTTATGTTCAACTGACTGCTGAACAAAAAGATAAAAATATATTGATGATTTAATGTGTTTTTCTTAATTTAAAGACATCAGAATAAATGGTGGAATATTAGACTGTGCTAAAACCACATGAAGTACATAGTTAGAGTTTTGCCATGATATGGCAAGGAACATGGTCTCTCAACCCGAACCAAAAACCTCAGAGCAGCTGCAGCTAGTGGTTGAATGGACCCACTGTTGTATTGATATTGCACTATAATGATACTATAATACTATTATGATGATAGAAGTGGCTCCATTGCAACATGTTAAAGGGACAAATCAGTATTAGTAGTTGTCTTGGGGCCATGTGTGCCTTTTAGAACTAAAAACACAATGTAAATAGTATTTTTTCCTTTCAGTGAGTTTATGTTTCTTTTATTAGTTAAATGTCACATCAGTCACCTTTGCTGCTGTTCTGTGTCACATATTGTATTTTTTGAAAGTGACAGATGTGTCTTCAATATATTTGATAAAGAAATACCCCCAAATAATGTGTCATTGTACTTTTTAGCCTTATTCATGTTTTCACCAGAGTTCCTTCTTTGCCATTCCAGTTGTCTCTGCTATCTATCATGATGAGGATGTTTAAATGAAACAATTCATTATTTATGCATTCAGCTGCTTAGACTTTATTACAACGTGCAAAAAGTCATACAGAGTTTTTCACCCACCCATTGTTTTATCTATTTTCTACTCAGGTCGCAGTAAAAAGAAGGAGCATTGCCTGAATGAGGAGTCGTACCCACTGGAGGAGACAGAGACTTGTCCCTGTGACGAGTTTTTGTCCCAGCCCTATGGGAACTGGTCTGCTTGCATCCTCCCTGATCCTTCAGCTCCGGGATCCCTGAAGGGCTGGATGAGTCACCGGGAGGTAAAGGAGTGTGGCCAAGGTCTGCGCTACAGAGCAGTGGCCTGCATTGACCAGCAGGGACACCTGGTCAGCCCCACACTCTGTACAGACTCAGGTACGACTCATAGAAATATATTGCAAGAACAAAGACTTTAAAGGTGGGGTTTTACTTTAATTAATCAGTTGCCAGTGACATATCTGTCCTACATCCTTTTCAGTTGACAAGGAAGCTGCAGTAGCAGTTTACTGTTTTCCCACAAGGCTAAAACAGCCATCAGTGGGCACCAGACCTATTTAAATCACTCTTTTTCAGGCCTAGAAGCAGACTTAATAGCATTGTATTGGTTTATTGGACTTCATCAAAAATGAAAGATGCTTCCAAAAGGCATTTTTAGCATCATATCAGTTATTTTTAACAAAATCACTGCCATTTCAGGGCATTTTTGTGAAAAACGTGATTCTTTGCTGGAGACGAAAACATTATACTATACTAAAATATACAAAAAACTAAAAAGTTTTGTTTGGGAGAACTAATTATTATCTTTTTTTTTACTTTTTTACGATGAAGTTGTCAGAATAATCTTAAATAATTGTAATATTGGTTATCCTCTACTTGTGATGTCATCTTGTAGGTTTTGGTTATTTGAAATGCTTAGTTGCTGAACTTGAAAAAAAGTGAAAGACGGTTGAATAATGCTAATAAAGTTATCCAGAGACAACCAACAAACAAAAAGCATAACCCAGCGTGAAAACCCTTAAGCAGTTTCAGTATGCCGTGTTGGCACAGTGTAGGAATGAGACTCATTAGTCAGATAATTAGCTCTTGGTGTCACGGTGAGCAAGTCCAAGGTCTGGCAGAGCGCAGGCCAGTGGCATGTCTGTCTGACATTATTAATGTGATCCTCACTGCAGACACTGACCAAGTCTGAATCAGGCCTCCCCCTCCTGTCTGCCAATGTTCAATTTCAGGCTACATGGTGGAGGTTTGCCACATCCCTTGCCCCCTAGACTGTAAGCTCAGTGACTGGTCAACCTGGTCAGCCTGCAGTGCATCCTGTGGCAGCGGGTTGAAGATCAGGTCGAAGTGGCTCAGGGAGAAAGCTTTCAATGGGGGACGCCCATGCCCCAGGCTGGATTTGAAAAACCAGGTAAGACGTGTACCAGTGCTCTATATCCATACCATTCTGTACAGTGCAAGGGGAAACAAATTGTGGAATGTAACTGTTATTGTGACAGCATGCTGATGTATATGTTATCAGTCTGTTTTGAGCTATTGTTTGACTGTATTTTTGTAAAAAAAAACAAAAATACAGTTTGTCATGTGTAGTTTATAAGGAGAATAATGCATTTTAGTTTCCATAGGGAGACACAGCAAACATGACCGCACAAGGTTGACCTCACCCTCCATCTACATTGTTCTTAAGTCACTTCTTCCCAGATTTAATTGTTTCCAGGGACACGTATAATCGAATGCAGATGAGGGCAGTCTGTACTCAGAGTCCATCCGTGTTCAATCATAAATCATCAATAAATGTAGAGAAATTAGTTTACATATTGCAAATAGTGTCCACAGCGCTCCATGTTATACACAGACATACAGCATTCCCCTACTGGGAACATTTGTATGGTGCATGGAGTACTTTGCATCTTAATTTTTTACACATCTCCAGTATGCTGTTGGAATATATTTCCCTCTATCCCTAATTGTGTGAGAGCCCAGTGCTGGCACATAAATGCGCAATGGAGTTGCATTCTGCTCACATTTCAATGACAAGGTTTATTACCCATCATCCAGTGGGACTTCTCTGTGACCTGTTCATTTCCTGGTGTCTTCAGTCAGACCAAATCATTTGCCTTGCAAGACATGCCCTTTCCTTGACATAAAAACAGGGCGCTGTTAAGTAACAAAAAAAAAGAGAAGGAGAAGTGGACAGATGGGAGCTTTTGATATTCCATAGTCCGGTTTTATCCATAGCTCTGAATATTATGTGACAGCATATCTCTCATGGGGTCATGGTTTAAAGAGAGGAAGTGTTTTATGAATGCTGGCTGTATGCTTGAATGGGTTTGAAAGGACACTTCAGTTTGTAGAGGTCAGTATGAAAATGAGGCACGGCTGTGTGAAAAATATTCCAGTGTGTTCTAGTGGATTTTGTGTACAGATGGTTAAGTGCCTACTAACAAGGTCTATATGGCCCCTGTAGTTATGCCCTGTAATAACCCTCGGCACTGAAAATGGAGGTCGCTGTTCCCAATGCCCTCGCGGATTTATCCTGAGGGTGGACTAGAGCTCATTGTTAACATTATCAAATTGGCTATTCAAAGTGAAGTACATCTGTCCAAGGTGTGGGTGGAGAGACACTATAACCTCTACTCTAGTTGCATAGGCATTGCTGTTGTGTTAAGCAAGGAAACTCTTTTGACAGTCACAAGTGAGTTCTTAACATGGTCTCGAAAAACCTGCTTTCTCCTTGAGCAGGTGCACTTCACTGTTCAGTCCTCATACTTATGCTTGGTCTTTAATACTTAATTTAATCTCTGTTTGGGTGCGGCATGACCTAATGGCTACCCTCCTCTCTCACAAACCCTTATTGGCCACTGTGAACTACACTCTAGCCAAATTGTGGCCTTGCTCCCACCAGCAGATGTTTCCCCTCGAGCCACGGCCGGAAAGTGACTGGCTTGACAGAGATGAAATTTACAGTGCACCACAACTCATCCGTTCATCACATGGTTGAGTGAGCAAGAAAGGTAGGGAGAGAGATAGAGAGGGAGAGAAAGAAAGTGCCACCAAGAAAGTAACAAGCAAAAATGGCCACATCCGAACAGTGAAACAAACTGTGTAAGAGTTTGGCTGTAAAATAAACTGTTGCTGTTAATTAGATAGTCTGTAAGATTGTCTGCATTGGTAAAACGTGATCAAGAGCGATTATAATTGAAATGAATAATTCACAGAAAACCTGTCACGGTGGATGTCTTGGCCACCTTGCCATTGAGTGTTCAAGTGGGAAAAGAATAATTAAAATAAGGCTGTAGGTATGTTTTCAACAACTTTTTCCTAAACTCCTCTCCAGAATCGTAGCTTAGCAGCCGTAATCCGCACAGCAGGCCTGTCAAGGTTTTGATTTCTCCACATGTTGAAGCCGTTCGGCATGGGGCTGTAATAAGACTTATTCTCTGCATCTGCTCTGTCTAGCTCTTAATTAGATTTGGTGAAGTTCACACTCCAGCAGCACCCAAACTCGTTATCTGATATAGCGTTATGTTTGCCAAACACATGAGTTAGTCTTCATCCTAACAGCCTTTTCTCTGTCTTGTTTGGCCAATTATGTAAGCTAAGCAGCCAAACAACAATTATGTTATTGTGAGATGTAAAGTGTTATATGATTCATATTTCATTCTACTTCTTAATAGGAGAACAAGAACTGAATATTCTGAAAGTTTAGGTTTGTTATCTTAATTAAAGACAGTTTGAGTAGACATGCCTGTTATACCTGTTATGGTATATCAAACTGGTAACATCTCTATTTTAATATAGGCTGTGTCCAAAGTCGTCTATTCATTCACTACTCCCTACTACCTGTCTATTTAGGTCAAAAAGGTCCAAATGTCCAAATGATGTCCAAAAACGTTTCCTTTGTTAGAATAAATTGTATAGTCCACTCCTGCACACTTTCTAAGTGAGTGTACAAGATGAAGGTTGCAGGATGTTAATGAATGCGAGATGATCATTTCTTCCTATGCATCTGTAAGTAAAACCTTCTTGTGTGCAGAAATGTCACTGTCTATATCCATATCATTGTTTTTTTAAATAAAACATAACTTTGTTGTGCTATTTACTTTGACTTAAATTCTACAGTACAGATATTTTTACAGCTATTTTGAGCCCATAGCTGAGTAGAAGTTGCCCTGAGAGACTGCTACAGAGAGCTCAAAGATGTCAAAGCAGAGCTCAGACAGAAACACACAAATTGGGCCTATAATTATAGGAGACATTTGAATTTCATCAAAACTCCCACAAGTGTTTGCTGTCAAATGCTGAAATATCAAATGATATATGTACTATTTCGATATAATACAACAGAATTGTCTTGACTGTCTGCCACCCACTGTGCCAGTCAGATAGTTATTTTCATTCTATTAATGCCTGGGGCCTCCACTCTGGCCATGTCCTATGGAGAAAGATCCTTCCTTTCCTCATCTGATGCTCCTCGACCATATGGTGTGTGTGTGTGTGTGTGTGTGTGTGTGTGTGTGTGTGTGTGTGTGTGTGTGTGTGTGTGTGTGTGTGTGTGTGAGAGAGAGAGAGAGACAGAGAGAGCGAGAGAGAGAGAGAGACACAGAGAGGGAGAAATCTGTAAGGGTACAAGACAGGTGACTTTGTGAGGATGATGGGACACTGACTTAATCTTTTTAGTTTTTCAGTTAACTTTTGTATTATGCAACTTATGGAACAACTATATTTAACTCAGTTGAATTGAATAGATTGAGTGTTCTGCTATCTACTTTGTGCTATATTTTTTTTCTTTCTTCTTTTAAATTGTTTGTTCTTTGCATGTTTATCTTGATATATAAAAGATTAACATATTAAAACTTAGTATAATCACCAAATATCAGCAAAACTGATAGCTGTGTTGTATTGGCAGATTCATGATTTTCACTTTCCATCCTGTTTATTTTGCTAACTAGGGTTGTGTGAGGCAGAATATATTTCTAGTCTCATGATATCACCCCCTGCTGTCACTATAAGGTTTCCATAGAGTCACATCCTCTTATTTATGGAATACAACAAAATCAATATGGTCCATCTGTGCTCTTAATGGCTTGATCTGCGTGTTGCAACTGAAGGGCAGAAGGGAAGTAAAACACAGTTGTTGGATACAGTAGGATGTTCTGTCTCGATGCCTTCTGTTCCACTGATGTGTTGTCAATGGCACATACTGTGTAGACAAAGAGAATGGGCTTTGATTTGAAAATAAAAAAATGTTATAAGCTTTTAAGAAGAATTGTGGTGCCCTGATGCAACCTCTTCTGATAAGTAGTTATCTTAACAATACACAGCTAGAGTACAGAGGAACATAATTATGAGATAATAATCTGTACTTAATGATTATGCACCTTTCATTTACAAACTATGTGTATCACATGTTGAGCATGGGTTCAAATCACATGAGAACATTCATAAAGTTATGTTTGAATACTCAGTCTGCATTCCCATTTGAAATGTTATAGTTGAACAGGGGTGTTTTTAGTGTTTTGACACTATTACAAGTGATCACTGCTAGAGTTGCCACATACATTATATATTAAGAGTTGTGTAACATTTAGTAGGATCTATTTGCAGAAATCGAATATAATATTCTAAGGTATGTTTTCATTAGTGTATAATCATCTGAAAATAAAAATTGTTGTCTTTTGTTACCTTAAAATGAGCTTTTGTATGTCCTCTTCCATGGTGGCCGCCATGTTGAACCGGCATGTTTCTATAGTAGCCTAGAATGGACAAATCAAACACTAGCTCTAGATAGGGCCTTTTACTATTTTGGTAAGCTTTGCAGCCACCGTATTCCACTATCTACAATGTATTTGCAATGGACTTTTTGTGACCTATTGAAGCTGTCTCACTCTTTTCCCCCACCTAGCCGCTGAATCTCTAAATAGCCTTTAATCAGCAAGCTTGTATGCCAACAGTCTGATCATGCCACTCCAGGACAGATTTATGGAAGAAATAATCATGTGTGCACTCCACATCATTGCTGCTGACAGCCTTCTGCAAATCCAAGCAATGACTGATCTTATATTAGTGGTTTCCCACAAACACACACTTCAGGGCGGAAGTTGATGTTTTTCTGCATGTGCTTTCGGAGGCTTGGGATAATTTGCAAGTCTCACAAAGAGTTTTATTCACCGTTAGTATTACTATTGTCAACACTGAGTTCCCAACTCACTGCTTAACTGCAACAATTAAAGCATTTGGTTCTTTCTTGGTGATTACATATCATAACTGGATGTCTTGGCTCAGTTCAGCTGAGTGTTTGTCTTCTTGGCAAATGCAAGCAAGTTATGAGACTACTGATGCTGCTGGCGTTTTTTTCTCACAACTTTGAGCTTAGCTGTGGTGCCTGTTTCGAAGAACAGGCAAGAAAAC